TATAATTCATAAGAACATGACAGGTGCATAGTCGCCATATGGGCAGGGAAGGGATAAAAGAACCTAGACCCAAACCCACCCAATAATACACCGACACTTATGTATGGGTCAAAAAACGTACACAGCTTTAATAATAATAATAAAGTTAATAACTTATCATGTACAAATATAATATATATTAAGGTCATTGCCCGCCACAACCCCCAATATTCTAACACCTCCCCCATGTTTAAGTCAAAGACTATGACCCACAACATAGCATAACTTAGCAATATATAACAACCACATAAATATGAACATGTAAAGTGCCAACATTTCTTTTCTTTTCTCCTGGTAGAGGTATACGCAGATACCCCTACACCACCGAGGTTCTGAGCCACCGACGGGCTCGAATCCTATCAAAACTTGTACGAAAAGTGTAACATTTTAACCAACCAACTAACTGCCCTTACTCCTCTATTAACTAAGAAGGCCTGTTTTCCCCTTAACCTTCCTTATCCCACCCCGCCGCTCTGACCAAATGGGGAAAATACAAGCAAATTGGGAAGGAGGGAGGGAGGGACCAACTCTGCCACGTAAGGAATTAGAGTGAGGGATCCTAAAATGGCCGACCATTTATATCAGCCAGCCGCCAAAAACTAGCCCACCAATCCCTATACGGCTCCCACCCCTAGACCGCCTCCTATCCATGTCATGGCCATATTCCCTAAGCTGCACTTTCTCCATGTGCTACATTACGGATACCAGCTCAAATGGCTAATTTCCTGTGAGCAAGTTAAGCTTGCAAGTTTATTGAACAGTGCTGATACTTGTTATCTCTTAGTTCGCTAAGGGTGACTTTGCAATTCACAGTTATTTATTATTAAAATATTGAACTTTATGGGAAGAAATATTTCTGATTCCAAAAAGCACTTGTGCCTTCTTATCTAACACAACCAAACAAGTGTTCCATACTAGTACAAAGCATTGCCCTTCATGTTTGTGTACTCATTGTTAATTTGCTACAAAAAGGTATAGAGCTGCCTTCTTTTACCAATGTTTAATCTTAAATAGACAAGACCGGATTTATTTCTCTATAAACAGGCACAAACAGAGGCGTAACTAGAAACTACAGGGCCCCGGTGTGAAAACTGCCCTGCCCCCCCTCCCCATATGTCTACCCCTGCTAAGCCCCCATACGTCTACCCTCCCCCCATACATTGCCCCCACACATGCAGATACACACAAAAAAACACATATACAGAGAGACACACACATACAGGCACACATACATACATACATACATACATACAAACACACACACATATAGACACACAGACACACACACACACACATACATACAAACACACAAATACACATACATACAGACACACATACAGACACACACACATACATACAAACACATACATACATACACACACACATATACAAAATGTTTTAGTCACCCTCCTGTTTCCTATCTTTTAGGTACAGGAGGGTGACTTCCCTGGGGTCCAGTGGCTCAGCCTGATGGGAGTCAGAGTTCCCACACTGACTACTTCTCTCCTTCCTCCTGCGTGGCTCCCGGTGTAAGCTGGGAAGAGTGCCCAGGGTAGCCTCTTCCTCCCAGCCTCTGACCTCATCACAGGGAACGCGGTCGCGCTGTTAAAGCGCCACAGCGCTGACCAGGCCCTCTGAAAATTAATTTCCTAAGAGCATGGGCCACCTGATGGGCCCCTTAACGTGCGACCCCTGCGAGTGGCAGGCCCAGTCACAGCTGCGACTGCGGTATTCCGCCACTGTCTGCTACGTCCATTATCAAATTTTGTTAACTTGATATACATAAGGAAAGAGTCTCTAATTTACTTTAACCGCTTAAGGACCAAACTTCTGGAATAAAAGGGAATCACGACATGTCACACATGTCATGTGTCCTTAAGGGGTCAAAGGAAAACTATAGGGGTCAGTAACACAAACATATATTCCTACCTTGTAGTGTTAAAAACACCATCTAGCCCCCTTGCTCCCCCCTTATCCACATAAATATAATAAAATCTTACCTTTGTTCTTACTGTTCTGAGCCAATCATAATGCTTTCCACAAGCCAAACACAGTCCAGGCCAATCAGCATCTCCTCATAGAGATGCATTGAATCAATGTATCTATGGGAAAAGTTCAGTGTCTCCATGCAGAGACACTGGATGGCAGGAAGCACCTTTAGTAGCCATTTGAGGAGTGGCCAGTAGAGGTATCCCTAGGCTGTAATGTAAACATTGCATTTTCTCTGAAAAGACAGTGTTTACTGCAAAAAGCCTGAAGGGAATGATTATACTCACCAGAACAAATACAATAAGCTGTAGTTCTGTTCTTATGACTATAGTGTTCCTTTAAGTATTTTATGAAAACTAGATTGCTCATAAAATAAGAAGATATTCAGACACAGGGAGCTACATAGAAGCAGATAACTTAAAGTTTAGTTTTTGGTGACTAAACCATTTTAACCAGAACCC